CGACCTCCAGTTGCCGCCTCGGAGACGCATCGACCTCCAGTTGCCGCCTCGGAGACGCATCGACCTCCAGTGCCTGCCGCCGCTGGACCAGCATCCTATTCCCCGGAGCCCTGACTCAGAGAGTCCGAGTCCAGCCCGCCGGAGCACCCGTGTCCGGAGCCCTTCTGCCCGCCTGGCCGTCCGCCGGAGCACCCGTGTCCGAAGAAAGTCCGGCCGTCCGCCGGAGCACCTGTGGCCGAAGCTCTTCTGCGGGCGGCCCTGTGGCTGGTCAGATCCAGTCACCCATCCTCCAGACCCCCTCCGCCCACCCTTGTTTGTTGTTCTGGACGGTGTAGCTACATCTGGAATCCGTTCCTTGAGGGGGGGTACTGTCAGGAGCCACGGGACTCACACCGTCGATCTGCCTACTCTCTGGTGTCGGACCACGGGCTCCACACCTTCCTGTCTTCCTTACTCTGGCTAAATAAAGTCTGTTTCACCATACTCTGTCTCCTGTGGTCTTGCTATTGGGTCCTAACCGTGAACTCCCGTGACACACTAATATTACGTCAGTTGCTCTGAGCATCTATTAATGATGCGAATGAGTTTGTCAGTTCAAAGTCTGGTGCGTCTAATACACTCTAAAGGGTGCCTTGTGCGCCGGTGTCAAGACACAAAGGGCCACTGCCCAAGCGTCGTCTTTGACACCCTTTTTTTATTAATTTAAAATGAGCTCATTTGAGACCAACAGCTAGGTGCAGTGATCGTAGGCAGTAGGGCTGAGGCTTTTTATTAAAAAAAGAGAAGGAATAAAAGCCAGTAACTGGAAAATTCACAGCGCTGAAGCGCAACAGACCTAACTTTCACTCGAGTGGCGGGTGTTGGTAGAATGCATGGTCACGCTGTTCTATTGCCTGCCCCGTTAGCAAACTAGGCTATCGCTGTTTCCTTTGCTAACGCAGAATTGAGTAAACTAGCTGTGTGCTAAACAGATGACAAGTTAAAGCAGTTTGCCGATTTGTTCAGATTATTCAAAAATAATTACTTAGTCGTCATTCGTTCGAATTTTGACTTTTAGAAAAAGTGACAGCGCTAGCATGTAGCACCTCAAATGTCCTCTGTTGCCAGAATCGTAATGGATCATTTTGGGGCCCAGAACAGAACCATAGCAAACCTGCCCAAACTTGATGTGTAGGAATTCATTTTCACAATAACAGACCAGACATGACCGGCGTATGTTCATACTTGATCAGAATAGACCCAATGATGCGACCGTACACGAGTTTTGGAGTTGTTGCACGTTGTATTTTCCCACATTGGACTGAGGCTAAAAGCGGTCCAGTCTTAATGCTAAGCTAGGCTAAACACTTCCCGGATGCACAGAGATAAAAAATAAAATCAATCTTGGGTGACACGAGAGAGAAACGAGCAAACTTCCACAGAGTGTTTCTTAAATATTATGGCACAACTTGTCTACGCACACCGACAAAATAACCATTCAGAAGTCGGTAAAGCATATCTCAGTCTGGTACTGCAGATGAATGAAGCACAAAGTAGTCCACGTTTTTTACACAATCACTCAAAGAGCACATGTCACCGTTGCACCAAAGAATAATAGAGAACATCTAGCATAGTCTTCATCATCCACTATTATTGTAATTATTAGTAAGTGTTTCCCAAAGTTGTGTTTTTTGAGACAGCCAACACAAAGGACAGCATTGTGCCAGTTCTTTGGCAACAATGACCTGATTAAGATTAACACCTTCTACGAAACTGACACAGGGGAAACAGTACACCTTAAACCTAATGTTAAGGTTACTAAAATGCATTACAGTAAAACAATATAAAAAAAAAAAAAAGAAAAAGGAAGACCTCACAATAACTACTGACACAATGACTCCAAAGGATTTTCAGGGACAAACACACTGTGACCATCTGGGTCCTGCTTACAGTAGAGAACGCTCTTGAGGTAATCCCTTCAGGGATAAACAGACAGTAAAATGTTCACTTTATTTTGAAAAAATTCAAAGAATTCAGATTTTTAAAACAATCTACCATAGAAAATAATAAGGGCCTCACGCATGAAACAATTAAAAAAGCACTACATTTCCTGTTATTACTGTATGCAGACACACACACACATACACGCACACAGTTACTTTGTCATATTTCCACGTGTACGGTACACTAAACCACGAAACAACGTTGAAATGTAGGCGTTATTACAGAGAGATACTGTGGCTTACATTCACATGGTTTCTCTGAATGGGTGAGGAGTGTATGCTTCCTGTGCTCCACAGATGGCGGCGGGGTCAGGTGGGAAACTACAGGCAAAAAATGGAGGCACATTCCTCTCCTGAGGCAAAGGGGGGACTTTTTCTTTTCTTTTTTGACTTTTTCCCTTTTTTTTTCTCTTTCTTTTTTCTCCTTTTTTTATGACAGACTCTCACACCTCTTCAGCAAAGAATCCGGGGGCCTGGGGTAGTAGCCGGTGGTGCAGGGCTTGTCGGGAGAAAACCTGGGGAACTTGTAATCCAGAGGGAGATCTAGAAAGAGTCGAATCAAATAAGGGAAAGTCAAAATGCAGACCGCCTGAATGTTTAATGCACATCTGCTGCTGAGAAGCATCAGCAAACGATGGAAAAGCACACTTTGTCCGAAACAGCAGGTAGTAATCACCCATGCCAGAGAATGTTGGACTCATTCGTGTTTGATGTTTTCTCTCCGAAAAGAGACAACTCTGGCATAAAACCATCATAAATACCAGGCCTGCAAACCTGGGAGATGATAAAGTCACAGTAAAAACAGAACATCTGTGGGGGTAATATTTCTAATTTGAACATGTAAATAAAGTTCAAAGCTCTTGGTTAGGTTCGGGTAAAGACTGTGGTTTGGGTTTAAGAGTACCTGATATTTGCATATTGACTTGATAGTACTTAACAAAAAATTGCACATGTTACATTTCTGTTGACCTTCTTTTTTTAAAAATCCTACCATCATTTTCATATTGGCAGGCTTGTCGGCCCTTTACTGAGTGTCACTATTCAGAAGAAGATCAGGCATTCTTGTCACTGTTACCAAAAAAATTCAAGATATCAAAATGAGGGTTTCCTGGCAACCGTTGTAAACACCTGTACTTTGCAAGCCGATTGCAACAACAACACAAAGGTGAACCACAGCAGACCAACAGGGTTGTTTTCTTATTTTATTTTCCAAGTTCAGACTCAAACAAATGACCCCAGTGTGAAAAACAGCCCAAAGGTCATCGTTAAATGGGAGACCGGTGCCATTTTCCCAGAACTGCTCTGCAGACGAGCTGGTTAATTCTAACTTTGGCTCCACATCTGCGTCTGTTAAGTGCTCGTTTTGATTCTTGTGAGTGTGTCTGTGTTGAAATGATGGGGAGAATGTTTGATGTGGGAATAGAGATTTTTAACTGCTGTCTAACAGCGGATTGGTTTTTCCCCCATTTTTAACACCACAAGTTTAGTTCTCAGTCATGTTTCTGTGCCCCATATGGGTCCATTTACAGGAATACACTGACAAACAAATTCACATTGCTTGGTTGAAGAAAATAAAACATGAGTTTTCTGTCCAGATGTTTAGGGGCTGAGGAACATCAGTGTGCAGTAAATCCTCCTTTATTCACTGAACCGCATTAAAGATCACAGGATTATGTGAGAGCAACATCTTTAATCCTGATTTGCCCCATTTTATAATAATAAGACACCTTTATGTTTTTTATGATCTGGCAAATTATTTTCTTAATTTAACTCAGACAAGACAGATAATCTGATTATTGACCCTGGGCCGTTTCTGAACAGGTACCACCTCCTCCAGGGTTGTTATTTGGCAACATTAAAACATTAGATCGCAACTTTTCTTCACTTTCGAGGCATTTCATGAGCGGACACGGCTACACTGCTGAACTGTTGAGACCATCTGTGCCTTCACACAATTTGTAGATCCTCAAGCAGTGGCCTCTTTGCCACCCAAGAGTCAAGCTAAGGACCAGGAGGCCGAACCTTTTCTCTCAGGGCCCTGAAACTCAGGAATGACCTATCTGAGAAGATATACTTAGCTAAATCAGTGTCCACTTCTATTATATAGTTTACCTTGATTTAAGTTGATTCTACTGTCTTATATTTTTATTTATATTTTTTTGTAATTATTTAACATTACACTGGCCTGTTTTAATTGTGTACTCTAGTCTTTTTTCTATTTTTTTATTCTAAAGCTCTTTCTAACATGTGTTTAGAGGAATGCGAGAACGAATTATAACTGTTATTATTTGGAGCTTATTTTTTTTGCTTTTCACATCTCCATCAAACCACTTCAGATCTGCAACACTGTCTGTAATTTCCTGCTGCCACATACCTGCTATGTGCTCGACACTAGGGATGGCCATGGTGCTGTATTTGTGAATGCTGTGGCAGCACCAGGTCAGTTTCTGGCTCTCCTCGTCCCCTCCTCCGCTTCTATGTACGTCGACGAAGTAGGAGCCCCACTGCTTGGACACATCGGAGGGCGACTTCATGCCCTGCTCCTGTCGAGACAGTCCACACACAGACTAAACTATGTAAACCGTGCCGAGATACATTTGCAGACATGTGCGGACATGATAAAAAGGAGGTGAGAATTCCAGCGTTAAGACTTCAAAACCTACTTTAACCCCAACAGGTTATTCTGACTACTGCATGCATCATTATTTCTGAGAAATCCCCCCCCCCGCTCTCTTACCCACTATCACTCATACAACACCAATCCGTCTTACACACAGAAAAAGAGTTGATGTGGTGTTTAAAGATAGGATGTGATAAGATGCAAACCAAAATGATACATCCGTGTCAGCGAATGTCATCAGGAACTGTTGCTTAATATTCAAGAGAATCGTTGGGAGATTTGTAACAAATATATATATATATATTTCTTAATGTGACATTTGAGGAGGAACCAGAAAGCAGAACAAAGACATTTCTGAGGATGGGGAATTTCTCTCAGCATGCTGAAGCAGAAACCTCTGACCTACATGTAATCCAACCCAGATGAGGGAGATCAAGCTCGTCACAAAATACACTGCTTTACGTGACCGCCCCCGCCTCCTTCAAGTGCTCCACTGCAGCATTACGGTAAGTGCATGCAATAAATAACAGGAATTGGAGCACCAGTGGTATCGCCGCGCTCCATCAGAGATCGTGCTGATGAATGAGGAGGCGAAGACAGGAAGAGGAAATCTGTTTCATTTATATCTCATCAACATCAAGAATTCATCTGGTGCCGGTATCGTTGTTCACTCCGTTTTGGTGCATTTCAGTTAGTCGGCAGCTTTCTGTATTTTAGTAAAAAAAAGAAAGTCCGCTAGTGAAGATGCGCTGACTCCTCACTTCTTGACAACATCCTGCTGGTTAAAGTCCTTATCTGCTCTGTGAGACGGAGGGCAGCGCTGACTGATGTTATATCTTCATTAAAAAAAAAGGTTCTAAGTCTATGTGCTAGAGACACAGTTATCTTCTTTTTATTTTATTATTTCACACGTTCCTCTTCCCGGTCAAAGCGTGCCACCTACGTTACCCCACAATGCAACTTGAGCGTGGATAGTTCAACTGGCGTCTGGGGTGCGTTAGCGGCTAATGTAGCCTGGGGCCTCCAGCAGAGAGGAGGAGCGAGCTGCAGACCTACTGCTAAACGGAAACAGCTGCTTTGGTGAACTCACCTCAAACTTTCCCTTTTTCTCCAGCGGCTCCACTTGGGCCTCGTTGGACATTGCCGCGTCACTCTTCGAGACGCCCTCCCCCTCCATTTCCTCTACGATCATCACCGTCTCCCACTTCCCAAAGCTGCTGGCAGGGAACATGTCCGACCTCATGCTATCTCCAAAATACACTACCTGCAAGGTAAAAAAAAAGAAGACAAAGAGGACAGCTTGTTTACTTAGAACAGCTTTAAGTGCTGTGGTAAAGAAGTCTTCTTCTAGCAGGAGTCAAAGTCAGATGGCATATGTCTTATCCCCCCCCTCCCCCCCCCACAGGATGAACTAGACCAGACACGAAGAGCCTGCAAAACACATCACAACCTCTTTGACCATCACATCCCTTTTGTCTTGCGCATCTGGAAAGAAAAGCAAGCTGTACTCAAGCTGCAGGCTTTACTGAGACAAATTAGGACACTGAAGAGCAGGCGCACACACACAACGCTCAAAGCTTAAAATCTCATTTCAACAACCATTTGTTTCTATTTACTACTAATTCACGAGTGAATTAGTAGTAAATAGTAAGTTATATTAAAGTATCATTCTGTGGTTTTCTCAAATTGTACCTCCTTAAAGCTGCACCAATCAATATATTTGCATTAACAATGGATCAAATGACTATGTGTAAGCTGAGAGTTGCTGCTCATAGTGATGCAACCACAGTGATATATTGATTTTTTTTTCTTAGTTGTGGGCTAGGAAACCAACCAAATATTAATTTCAGTTTAAATATATTAAATATTGCATGTTCAAAAGTACACCCCATTCTAAAATGAGGCCTTTATGCCTGAATGTTATATTCCGGTTGTAGCTCGAGGCTAAAAGTTGAAATAGTTCCATCTTTTTCCCCCCAAACAAAGCCAATATCCCACATAATGAAATGTGAAGACCTGAACCTTGCATCGAGGCTCCCTAATGCGTGAAAAACCTAGCGGTGTGGGATTACATCCAAATGAAAATCATGTTCTTCATCATCACCTGAAATCTCTGGGAGGAACTTGATAACGCAGAAGAACTAGCTGCATCATGCAAACCCTTTACCAGCCATCACAAATAGGGAGTACACACATGCCTGTAGAGAGGATGCACGTAAGGCATTCCAGTAGTTGCGTCCCGTCCCTCCCCCTCACGGAGCTGTGCTGCGTCTGAGGCCGGCCCTTCCACATGCAAACAAACAGATGGGCTAATCGGGTCTGCGGCCGGGGGCCCGTGGAGAAGGGGTGGGTGGGGCCGCAGGAATCACATTTCCACCAGACTATCCCAGAACTGGCCCACAGCTGGTCTTCGTATCCCCCCCCCCCCAAAAAAAAAAATCCCTGGATGTCTCACTGCTCAGCAGTGCTGCTGCCAGAATCATGGGATCACTACGATAAATATTTACAGAGGCCAAGGATTCCAGCACGGAGGCAACGCGTTACAGAAGAGATTCATTGTGTATGGGTACAGTTACATTTGCCTGAACCGGACTGAGCTCCGCATGAGGGAAATGCACCACGGAGTGAGTCAGACTGCAGGACGGTCAGACGCTTCTCTTGCAAACACTTCTGCACAAGATGACTCTGTTCGTTGGTTGTATATGCAGCCTTGAGATGTTGTCTTTAATCCTTACCCCTGATCGGATGTGCCAGGTCTGAACTCAGCATATGTGTGTTTACATTTCAATGTAACCTGCCTGATGGGATAGTGATCGGATATATTCCGTGGTCAAAGGAACGACTCTGTTTTAGCTGCTAACAAAGCTCCGCTAATTCAGTGATAAACACATTTTTCTGTACAATCTTCAAAATACTTTACTTAAAGTTTTTGATTTAAGCAGCAAAATCAGGAAATGTTGGGTTTTCCTCAGCAGTAACTCAACAGGAATCACAAAGTTGGTCCCAGCTGTGCTCCAGCTCCGGTTGTCTTCCTCTCTTAGCCTTTTCTCTCTGTGAGGGGAAGATGATGGAGACCTACGTTTGATAAATTGTCCTGATTGTGACCACATGACGTCCACACCCCACTGAGATCGGAACTCCATGCGAGCCAGGCCACCTCAGCGTGTGGTCCGGCTGATCGGATCCCAATGATCATGGAGCTCACGGACTTGACAGTTAATGCATCCTGGCGTGATCGGATGAGGAAAGTTGTAACTACGGCCTTAGTTTTGTTGTTCTCAAACTTCCCTGAGCAGCCCAAAAGTCCCATGCTCCTAAGGTGTTGACATTTACTGAATGGATTCAAATCAACTCCAATATACCGTTTTTCCTCAGATAAACACCGGGGACTTTATTTACCTGAACTGCAGAAGATGACAGGCTTTTATTTGAAGCAGGTTTATATTAGAGGCAGGCCAGGTTATGGTAGCACAGTTAAATATCTGAGAACGGATTCATCTGCAAGCAATGTTCTAAAAACAAGGTGTGGCTGCACTTGCATTTTTTCTGGAGTTATTGGACATGTTTGTATCACACAAGTCGGAAACAGTAAGCAGTTCTATTCAATTCTATAATACTAGTATTATTAGTGCAGCCTAATCTTTATCAGCAACCGCACAGAAATACTGGGTTTAAACACAATGAATATGCAAAAAATGCAAAAAAGAAGAAGCTACGCAGCATTGACATGTTTTCGAATTTGAATGCCAACGTTATGAATGAGGCTCCCGACTATTCGGCACAGCCCTAGAATTGTCTGATATTGATGAGTTTCATATTCTAAATTAAAAACGTAAAAGTTAAACATCATACGGGTCCATACATGGAATGTGACCTCTGCATTTATCCCATCCTAAGCATTAGGATGCAGTGGGCCTAATCTTGTGGCTCCTCCCGCAGCCGCCCTATACCGCCACTACTACCACCGCCGCCAATGAATTGGAGGGCGTTGTCGCTGTCCATTGACAGAGGGTGCTGAATTAATGTTGCCGTGGCATATTGTGAAGGGAGGGAAGGGGCAGGATTGTGGTCCTTGGCCTCAAGATAGCAATGCGCCAACCATGTGCCTGAAAACACCTCATTTTAAGAGGCATGACATTTATTACTTATGCAACTTAGGTACTGGCCGCTAAAATGACAACTGCGTAGGTCGGAAACTAGCTTTGTGACAAAAATCCCATAGTAATCACCAAGTAAACAGCACTAATCTGCCAGAAATGTGGGCTTTACATATTTGCTTTGCCAACCTAGTGCGTTGCCGGATGACCACGCGGTGGTCTTGTAGAATAAATTAGGGACTTGCATTTTGCTACGCAGTGCTAATGTCGGTCTGAACACCAACAAGACGCTTAAGACGAGCTGATGTAAACGAGTGGCCTGTGAGGACAGACCAACATCTGGTTTATTATCCATTAAACAGGTCACAGATAAGGCCTCCAGACGACGTCTCAGTGGTGGTGTAGTTCATCAAGGCTCATTGCCCAGACTGTGTTTTGGAGTCTATTTTTCCGTACCTTATCAGCTCATCACTCAGAGGAGCAGTTAAAGCCAGAGCCAGGCCCAGGTAAACAGAGCTGCAGGCATGCAGAGGGGCCTTAATGAGCCCATTGTGCTGCACACTGTGTGTGTGTGTGTGTGTGTGTGTGGGGGGGGGGGGGGGGCAACGAGACAGCAGGGCAAAACCCCATTTTGTCATTTAGCCTAATTTTCGTATTCGTAAAGGTCATATTCCTTTTTAGCTGCGAAAGATTCTGCCAACAGAATGAGATCATTACACATTTCAGACCAGGCAGAAGAAGGCCAATCTACCTGCCAAGTTTTGAGAAAATGGCCAAAAAGTTTACATTTTGTCATAACTTTAAGATCCTTTGACTTGGTATACCAAGTAGGACCAATAGACACGAGATAGGGCATTTTCTTGGCTTGACAGATCAAGTGCCACTTTACAATGTGAGGATAACTAATTTATCTTGACTGTCAAACTATCCTGCAATTAATTATCCAAAAAATCATCAACCCGTTAAACAGGGCATCAACCACTTTTTCACATTCGGTCCTGAACTGCGACAGCCCTGAATCCGAACTCCCCTGTCACTACTAAAACAGCAGAGACACCTCGGAATGATATCGGGCCTGAATCTCCACCACGACCCCACCGGCTTTGAGCGGCGTGCCGAGAGACGATTGAATGGCTCTATTCAGCCCACCTGCAATAAGTCCTGTCAGGTGAAAGTGGAGAGAACCGAAAACACAGATCGCCTCAGGTCAACCCTGGAGGACTGTTTAAAGCAGCCATAAGTGCAGGTTGACACTGAATTCCACAGGAGCTTTCTCCACGTGGCCGGGGAACAGAGGGGGCATTGAGCAGAGGGCCGGGGGGGGCCCGGGATGTGGACGATGACGAGTACCGCTGACTGAACCTGGGCTGGGCTGAAGCAGCTCTGCCTTCGCCTGATCTGTCCCAGCTTTCCTTCTTTTATTATTTAGGCCAGCGGGATACTACCACAAGCTTCATACTGTTTTCAAATGTCACCATTACCAGGAATGTTACCCACATCAAACCCCTGGCATGGAACTGAATGGGACTTTTAGATGAAGAGTGGTAGGAAATGAATGTGAGAGAATACACATGGAAAAATCAGATGCATTATTTTATCAGAAAAATAAATATTCAGGAACTACTAAATGTTGGTGGGACATCGGAGAAACTCAAACCCATTTTAGCCATATCCTCTGACTTAGGGCGGTGTCACAAGCCAACATTTTAGTTTGTTTTAATCAAACTCTAATCGTACTAACGTGAGTGCGAGAGGACTGACTTGAACTTCCGCAGAAGTCCAATGTTTGCTTGACATCTGGGCCGAATAGAACATACAGAATATGCTAAAAAAAACAGTCCTTTATAAAGTCATTTGAGATAAAAAAAAACAGCAGGTCAGTGCTGAGTCAAAGTGAAAACACTTCAACAGCAGCATTTAAAAAGTCCTCCATTCCCCGCAAAGACGTGGCAGCTCTCGAGCCAAAAAAGATACATTCACTACTTCTGCACACCCCTCAGCAAATTTATTTCATTTCAAACCAGACTAAATACAAAACAAACAAATTTTCAATTTCACTCTGATTCGGAGCCAAGCGGACTATGGCTTGTTAAAGTGCTCCTAAAGTGCTATCAGGAAGATAAGAACAAAGAAATTGAGCCATCGTTCAATTCTTACTCTGTAGTATCCATTATTTTGCACTTCGAGGGAGAAAAGCAGAGAAATTTGGGACAAAAAGGTGGAATTACTGTCAAGTATATTAAGCGACTGATGAATTACCCTCATCCATCACATGTACCGATCATCTGCCAGTATCATATAGCAGTAAAATTACAGCCCTCTGCATGCACGGTGCATTCTCCCATGACATGTGCAGCCACACTAATGCTGACACTGCTGCACTGTCTGAGCCGAAGGACTAAAAGCTTTCAAGTAAATTGCGATTACATTAATGGAGTGAATAGATCTTTATAATAATATTTCAGTTAACCAACAGATAGCAGCATAAAGCAAAGTACACCGTTTTTAACTAAACCTTCTGCTGGTTTCTGATAGTTAGCGGTTACCATGCTTCAGTTTTGTGGGTATTTTTTTTTTAGGGCTGTCACATGACACTAATATGTGTGTCATCTAACAGACACGCATGTTCATTTTCATTTCATAGTGAGTAGCTTGGATCAGTGGTTCCTAAACTTTTGGAAACTGTGACAGCGCTTCATAGTGAATTTTTTCTTTTCACACACATAAGCGTACAGTACAGTGCTCCTCTTCAGCTCACTCTGGACCGCTGCAGAACATTTGATAGATTTTCCCTACAGATGAGGCATTCCAGTGCTGGGACAGCGAGCTGCCCCTCCCCGCATACAGCCATCAGCCAAGGAGCTTTCACTACACTGTCCAATGTGAGCATTTGCGGCTGGCTCAAATTCAGACTGCCAAAGGGCTCGGATGATTCAGCATTTTTTTCCCCAAGTGTAATCACTACTGCATTGTTTGTGCTTGTATTTGTACTCTGTGGCGTTGTGTGCCCTGACTTCGCCTGAGTAGTTTATTAAATGTGTCTATAAGCACAACACAGTCTTAGGAGATATTTGTGTGGGGTTTATCTTCGAAATCTTTCAATTACCAACCGACCAATGAGCAACAAGCACATGGGAACTATTATCTCACAAAGCTGCTGTGGCACATTTTAAGTGAGCGTTTTTTAATTTGAACGATTTTGGTTTTGTATTTCTTTGACCTTCTTTTTTTGGCATGTCTCAAAAGGTGAAATTAAAAAACGCATTTAGTTTTTTATTATATGTGAACAGAGCCAGAAAGTAGAGCTGAATAAATCTTGCAGCTCCCTTGGCCCATCCCAGCATAAACTGGCACCCACTTTTAGGGAATTTCATCAAACTCTTAATTAGTTTAAAACCTCTCTGATGCGTTGCTTTTAGGGAGTGGCCATGTACAATCAAATGCTCATTCACTCTAGTCTCAACAGGATCCATCAGGTGCTCGAGAAATGATGGACAGCTGAGGCATATCCAGTACTATTGATATGACTGATTGATATGATATGGTTATGACTTAATATATTGCGACATATTTTTTGGATTTTTTAAATTTAATGTTAGGAATACTGTCGTAGTGCAAAGAACACACCACAATGCATAAAATCCGTGTATATAATCATGCATTTATCACAGTTCCTGTATAAGTTCAAGCTTACCTGGGTTGTTTTCAGTACTGTATCAGCATATTGCTGTCATGTAAACATAAGGACTGTGACACAGGACTTTTATTAAGCTATGTTCTCTACCTTACCTGAGAGGTAAAGAAAAAGAGCTCTTTGATCTGTGTAGAAACCGTCCCTAAGAATGAACCGCATTGTACATAAGAGGTATGAGGGGAGTTGGCTGCACTATGTGGCGTGTTTCATCGGTGGGCTCCCAGCGTGCTGGCACACAGCAGCCCTGTCGACAGTCATGCCAAGGGCCACGTTCCTCCTCTCCCTCACACTAGTGTGAATCTGCCTGAGCCTGATTTATCGCGAGGCCCTCATCTTATTCAGCCTCTGCCAAAAAACAAAAGTTGGAGTCAACCGCAAAGCGAGCCGGAGACGTTGCTGGACCAAAGGTCAGACCGCTCCGCTCCTGTTATTGTACGGAACAAGGCGGCTGGCCTACCTTGGGCTCCGGCTTGCCAGTCATGGTCTTGACCAGCTCGTGGAGGTGCGGCCAGTTGCCCTGGGAGTACCAGCCGGGTTTGTCCAGCGACGGCAGCCCCTCGCTCTCCTCCACGTCGTTCACTGCGGGAGAGGACAGGGAGTCAGACACACCACAGTTTTTGACCGAACAGCCGGCAGCTACATGACCGCACGGCCTCGAGTCCACCAGCGCCAAACCTCGACAGCTAAACATCGCCGCACTCACCAGCAGGCCCACAAGGAGACGAAATAGCAGAGGCAGAGTGTGAATTATGCTCCCAATACTCCCAGTAAAGTGTTGGTGTGCTCTCTACAAGGTAAATCTCAGCGGTTGTGATGATGAACAGGATAGGGGTGCACGACAATAATCGTTTTTTTCTGTACTTTGCTTTTTCTTGTGAATTACAGGATAATTTAACCCATTCAGGCCTATGAAAACTACTTAAATAAATCTGCCCGAAAGCAGCTGTGATATAAATTGTATGCACCCTTTGCACTAATAAGCAGCATCTTGCATTTCAGTATCTCTGCCAGTGATATTAGCTAACGTTACAGCAAGGAAAAAAAGCAACAGATTTAAGGTTTGATGATTGATATGATTTTTATCAGAACTTCCACTGACAACAAAAGAGCTGTACAAACCCTGAAACCATGCAGGTCCTCATTTTTAGCAAGGACACTCTCAAGAGAAGACTTCACACAAAGATATCCGAGCTGTTGACGCGTACTGTGTTCCAGCAGCCATCACCACAGCTCGGCAGAGCAGTGGAGACTGGTCCGCTTCAGTCCATTCCCCACTTCACACCACGTGTCAGCCGGGAAACACTTCCAAAAACCTCACAATTACCCTCTGAAAGTGTCGGAGCCGCGCGTTAAGCCGTGCAAAACGCCCAGTCATCCTGAGCTCACGCAGCTCGTGAGTAGTGACTGAGGATTTTCCACTCGATGGCCACAGGTTCTGTGCTTGCTTAGAAGAAAAACGTGGTTTAGTGAAGAGTCCAGAAAGGTCTAGCTGAGAATACAAGTGCAGTTCCTTCTCGTGTTACTGTTGTGCATTTAAATAGCTGCACTGTTGTATTGTACCGCTATACAACAGTGACATAGTATAATAAAACGTGTGCTTTATCATGTTGCAACTTGTTTCCAAATGGACTTATTTGTGACAAAAGGCTACAGGCATGCTAGCGGTTCTGTGAGGCTGTATTAAGGCACAGCAGTTCTTTATGCTACATGCTAATATCAGCATGCTTACTGGGAAAACGTAAACAATAATGCATATGTGTTTGTCTACGTGTCTATACATTCATTTATTTTTGGATATGTCCAAGAAATCAAATCAAATCAAAGCGATAAACACAACGTACAGCTGAGGCTGATGTACGGTGACCAGAGCCCCGACAAATATCTGTAAAATATTAAATTGTCCCGGTTTTCGCCCCAAATTAAATTAACATCAATAACAATAATATTAATACTCCTATTTTCAGCACTTACATACACTCTTACTCATTATTACCTAACCCAATGCAAAAACAATGCACCACGCATCGGAATTCCACACTGATTTGTCTGCACGTGTGTCAATCAATCTATGTGTAGTTGTCAAAGTTATTGCTATGACGGTTGCAGCTGTTTCAAACATAAGCTGTGGCTACAAGCTGGAGGATGCGACATCCTTCCACGAGACAAAACGGTCTTGACAGACATCTGAAACGGTCAGCTCAAATGGAGGCCTACCATCTGGTGAATCACAATGAGCGTTTTAAATGTAATTATATATTAAGCGATAAGAAAATTGTCCCCCATACTGATAAAATTGACTATGGTGCTCCATAGAGAGCTGCCGCTAGTGTGGCTAAAAATGTCTGCTGAAAAATGGTCAAACTTGGAATAACTGATTTTTTTTGCGAAAACAAGTTGTGAACCCTCACATCACCTGTCATTACCATCATCAAGTCGATATGGCTAATTGGTTGGCAAACAATTGATTATTTGGAGCATTTATCGAGCAACATTAACATTTATTTGGGGTCACGTTTGTGTCCAACTAGCTAATTTAAGTCCAATATTCATTCTCCTTTTAGCTCGGTTTTTGGTCTCAACCAACCCTTGAGGAAAATATCTGGCTCTTCAGATATTCGGATAGACTCATACAAAATCAATCCTTCTTAATCATCACTTATGACCGACTAGAAGTGTGTGAGTGTGTCTGTATCTGCCTGTACTTTTGTATTTTGCTGTGTTGGAGACGTTTCTGGGCGTCAACCTCTTGCATGACTTCAGGTTGCAAAGTGCCAAACAAGTCGCGCTGCATACTTTCTAAAAGGTGGTGTACATGAAGAGTAGGTGGAAGATTTAGTGTTGGTACTATGATGTCAGTGGTGTGTTGATACTATCATTCATCAAGAGCAAACAGATGCTGCTTTTCGCTGCAGGCTGACTTGCCCTTACAAAAAATAAATAAAAATGTTAGCGATGTTCAATGGCTCAGTCTTCCCTTCCAGTGAGCAGACTTGGCATCGCACTCAAAATTAATTAATGCAGCTCTAATCCAGAGTTATACAGTGCAGACTGTATTCACACAACCGCTCCTCTATATGGCCTCCAACTGCTAAAAAGAGCTGTAAACTCTCGGGATTGAAAATAAATGGTAATTTATTAATCGACCACAACCAGTGAGTGCCTGTCTTCGTCTCAGGACAGCATGAAACCTGGCCAATACGAGCTGATGTGAAAGAACAAATAAAACTTGATCAATTTAAATAAATTCCTGAAGACCTTTCCCCTTTTTTTTTTTTTTTTTTTTTTTTTAAATCGTACATTAGCTGACTTGATTTGTTTCCGGTTAGCAACCCCTACTTCTTTTTAAGCTCTGACTAAACTACGCTGTTGCTGAGTTTATAAGCTCCACACCAGTTGATGGGAAATGTGTCTAAATCCAGTGAGTCAGACTAATGAGATGATGACTGTCAATATCTTGGGAATCTCAACGAGACAAACCCGGTTAAGTGAAGGCTAAATTTAAAAAAATGAAAAGTTACCTACATAAACACAACCATTTATGATGTATTTGTAATGGCAGCAAATGCTGTGAAACATCTTTAATTACACTAGTAAATAGCCTTTTAAATGTGGTATGCTTTCCTTGGCTGTTACCTAGGGATCAATAGAACATCTTTGTTTGAAGAGGATAGTTGCTCCTCTGGGTCTGCTCCGACTGCTGTTTAAGAGC